TTTACAAAGCTCAACCCAATACCAACATTAAAGGTTACATAGACAATATTCCTACTTATGTCAGTGGAACCCAAAAAAAAGCAACAGTGCTATACTTCTATTATTGTTGGCTTATCACATTTACCAAGATCAAATTGGCTTTATATACAGAAAAATAAATGTCATTTAAATACTTAGTTTCAGAAATTTTTCCTAATAATGCAGGTTGCATATCAGGCACGAGTGTTCTGCAAACATGATACATGCTTTACATGAACCTTTTCCACTCAAATAAAGGTATCAGTGCCCCTGTGATCTGGGATTACATATGGACACCATTTTCAGTGATTAAAACATATTTTTTTTTTTTTTTAGCAAACTTAGTACGTACAGTGAAATCTCAATTGAATGGACTAATGGGAGGAAAGGAGTGTATGGTAATAATGACTGTCTGGAAAATCTTAAAGAAATTACAGTGGACCCCCGGATTTTGTCCGGTGCGGAAATTGTACAATTCGGATTTCAACCACTTTTTTCGGTGAAATTTTACCCCGGGTTTTGTACATCTGCTCGGCAACTAGACACGTCCACCTGGGCTGCTCATACGTTTGTGACTCGCCCTTGGGCACTTTGAATGTCTTATTTTACATTAATATAGACATTTTCATTAATCCATCTATGATATTTTTTTTCAAAATTATACAAGAAACATGTTACATTGCATATAAACATGTCTTTGTTACTCGTTCACTAAGAGTGTCCCTCGAGTCTTAATGCCACAGTAATACTAATACGTAATAATAATCACTCTTGGGCACATTAAATGTCTTATTTACATTTATACAAACATTTTCATTAATCCACCTATGATAATTTTTTCAAAATTATATAAGAAACACAAATAACCCGCACATAACGTCTCATCTCAGCTAGCCCTTGGTCTAAATTCTCCCTCACTGACTGTTACTAATCTGTCTTCTGTCTCACTCTCTCAGTATGAGCTTGAACTTCTTGGTTTTGGTCTTTCCTTTGCCACTTCGCCTACTCCTCGCGCTGGTATTTCCCCGATTAGCTCTTTTGATTCCTTTCGTCAATCTCGCTTCCGTAATCTTCCTGACTTGTCCACTTTTCGTGGTGCTCTCCTTCCCGCTCTTGTTAGTCTGTTTTCCAAGAATCACCACCTTCCACGCTGTTACCAACTTGCCCTTTCTTCTCTTAAATCCAACACTAACATTGTCATACTATCTTCTGACAAAGGTAATTCGGTAGTTATCCTTGATCGCGAGGATTACCTCCGTAAAGCTGATGTTTTGCTCTCTGACTCGAGCACCTACACTCCTCTCGTTTCCAACCCTCTTGATCGCATCAAGATAACTTTCAACAAAAAACTAAGGACTCTCTCCGACCTCTGTCCTCCTGACTTTGACCTTGTTCAACGGTTTCGTGTCATCTGTCCCTCTCTTCCCTATTTCTATGGCCTTCCCAAAACTCATAAACCTGATATTCCTCTTCGTCCTATCATATCCTCTAGAGGTTCTGTCTCTTATTCTCTTGCTTCTTGGCTGGCCAAAACCCTCACTCCCTTTCTTGGTACTTTTTCTCCTGCCCACCTCCGTCACTCTCAAGACTTCATTGAACGGGTTCGCTCTCTCCCAACCTGTAAGATGCTTAGTCTTGACGTTGAGTCCCTCTTCACCAATGTCCCTCTTGATGATGTCCTTGATTTCCTTAGAGAGAAGGCCCATGAAGGTTTCTTCATCTCCCTATCCCCACTGATGTCTTTCTTGATCTGATCCGCCTCTGTGTGGACTAACTCCTTTTCCTTCCAAGGGAAATATTATTCTCAAACCTTCGGTGTCGCTATGGGCTCTCCTCTCTCTCCTGTCCTTGCTAATCTTTACATGGAATACTTCGAGACTGTTCTTCTTCCTACCCTCGATGTGCAACCTTCACTCTGGCTCCGCTATGTGGATGACATCTTTGCTCTGTGGCCTCATGACTCCAGTCTCTTCCAACCTTTTCTTGAAGCTCTTAATAATCTTGCCCCTTCCATTAAGTTTAAAGCTGAATGGGAATCTAATTCCTTACTTCCTTTCCTTGATGTCCATGTCCACCGCTCAGATACAGGTTTTTCCTTTTCCGTTTTACCGTAAAACCTATGCACAGTGGCATGTACATTCACTACTTTTCCTATCATGCTTCCCCTGTCAAGAAAAGTGTTCTTATCTCCCTCTTTCTCCATGCAGTCCGCATCTGTGATCCTCGGTTCCTTCCAGCAGAAATTTCCACTCTTCATAATTCGTTCTCCCGTCTTGGCTACCCTTCCCATTTCATAGACTCTGCCCTCTCACGTGCTAAACGCAATTTCTTCTCTCCCAAACTCTCTACTCATGGGAACTCTTCTATCCTCTGCTTTCCCTACATTTCCGGTCTTTCTAATCTCAACAATTCTCTCCGTCCCTTAGACATTAAGCTTACCTTCCGCCAGACTAACACTCTTCGCACTAATCTCGTTCATACCTCTCCTCCCTCTACAGATGTTCCTGGTGTCTACTCTATTTCTTGCTCCTCCTGTCCTCTTCAATACTTCGGTGAAACTGGTCGATCTCTTTCTGAGACTTAGGGAGCACAAAAATAGTGTTAGGCTTGCCGACACTAACAATGCTCTTTTCTGTCACGTCAGAGATCATAGCCATCCTATTGACTGGTCTTCTGCTAAAACTGTCTTCCCTACTTCCAACTCGAACAGTCGCCGTCTAGTTTTAATCCCTCTAATACACAACTTTCCTTGTATGAACCTTAGCCCTGGCTTCGTCTCTGTAGATGCCTTCCTCTCCCACTACACTGTAAAATGCTCCAAACTTCAGAACACCCGTGACTTAACCTGAATCCTCACTTTTTCTTTTTCTTTTTCTTCTTCCTCTTCCCCTTTCCTCTCTCCTTTCCTCCTCTGGGTTGTCTTTCTCTCTCCTGTCTCGTGTTTCTGTTCCTTCTTCATTTATTTTATTTCACCACTTCCCCTTTCACGCACCTCTGTGCGCTTGCTCTCCCTCTGTGGGTATCTAGCTCTCTTGCAGTGCTCCCCTTCCTTTATATTTGACTGGCTCGTCTTCCTTATTTCCCACTTCTTCCGCTACCACTACTACTACCTCCTCTTCTTCTACTACAACTACTGTTGAAATTAAGACACATGTGCGGCGTCTAGCTGTCTTTGTTGTGGACGTTTCGCCATCCAGTGGCTGGCTGGATGGCGAAATGTCTACGATGGGGATGCCTGGGTGTTGTGCATGTGTCTTAATTTCATCCTGTCGGTATTATATAGAATTCTTGTACTACTACTACCACCTCTTCCTGCCTATATATAGCCGTCCTGCTCCACCTCTGTTAGTGTGACTTTGTCAATGGTCCAAGTCGGACCGAAACGTCGTCGTAAGCTTCTCTCTTTTATGTGCGGGTTATTTGTGTATTGTTCCAGTCACGGTATTGTGCCTTTTTGTTATTTATATAAGAAACATGTTACATAGCATATAAACATGCAATGTTTATATGCTATGGAGGAGTGGTAGTCAGTGGAGGGAAAATATTATGTTTCCTCTGGTCCAGCATTAGAGAAAACGTGTATAAATCTGCATTGGCCCAGTCACCGCCTTAATACATAACGCTTTTGTTTACAATTCTCGGCATAAATTATTCATTAATTCTCCATTTGTTTATAATGGAATCTGAAGGTAGTTGTTAGAAACTATTAAACTCGGTGAACATGGTATGTTGATGGTAATAACGTGGCTCTGGGCCACAGTGTTGGTAGCTGGTAGATGTAGCCCAGGAGGGCTACATCTACCAGCTACCTACACTGATTTCCTACCAATAAATACTACTCACCTCTCACCCTACATTAAGACTACAAATATTTTAAGGTAAGTAATGAATGTATTGTGTATGTATTTTACTTTTTGCTTTTTAATGCCTAGTTTTATTACTAAATTTATTTTTTGTTAATATTTTTGGGTGTCTGGAACGGATTACGTAATTGGATTTACATTATTTCTTACGGGAAAATTACTTCAGTGTTCGTCCATTTCAGATTTCGGCCGACTCCTCCTGGAACGGATTAAGGACGAAAACCAGGGGTCCACTGTATTTAGCTGTGATAATATTAATACTCCTAGGTAGTAGGTTGGTAGACAGCAACCACCCAGGGAGGTACTACTGTCTTGCCAGGTGAGTGTAAAATGGCCAGTAATTGTTTTACATGATGGTAGGATTGCTGGTGTCTTTTTTCTGTCTCAAACATGCAAGATTTCAGGTACATTCTGCTACTTCTACCTACACTTAGGTCACACTACACTTGCATGTACAAGAATATATATACACACACCCCTCTGGGTTCTCTATTTTCTTACAAGTTCTTGTTCTGGTTTATTTCCTTTTATCGCCGTGGGGAAGTGGAACAGAATTCTTCCTCCGTAAGCCATATGTGTCATAAGAGGCAGCTAAAATGCCAGAAGCAAGGGGCTAGTAACCCCTTCTGTATACATTACTGGAGTTGTGGTATGGTAAAAGAGAAACTTTTGTTTTTCTTTTTGGGCCACCCTGCCTCAGTGGGATACGGCCGGTTTGTTGAAAAAAAGACGAATATTAATACCGTAATGGATAATTGTGTAACCGATGGACTTTGTCCATTGTTTCCAAAATCAATTTACCCAGTGGATTTTGTCAATTATTTCCAAAATCTGTTAAATTAAGATCCATTAGAATAAAGTTTCACTGTGGTTTCAGTCATGTATTTCAATAAAATCTAACTGGTTCTGGCTATTTTACCTACAGCCATGAATACAAAATAAGTACACACATTAATGTTGCTGCTGCACCAGTATAGGAGTGGAAAAGGCAATGCCTATTCTTGGATATACATAATGCACTACTTTTACAGTATTTAGTCACCTTACATATAATTCTGGTTTATAGTGAAGCCATTAAATTAGCAGCATCCAAACTGAAATGACCATTACACTTACGACATGTTGGCTGCTTTATTTTTTATTTTGCTTTTGACTGCCTGTTTGACTTTCTTTATGACTCTCTCAATGCCTAATTTAACACTGTCCTTTACAGCACAAACAGTGTTATTGACCTTCACCTTGATGCGATCCACAGCTGATCGTACACCTCTATCTTCAAAAGTCGTGTGGACCACAGGACTAGGTTGTACCTGGGCCAGAGCCAATGCTGGTCTGGTAACACCAACATCATTTATTTATCTACTAAAATCAATAAACTAAATAAGTATGTTTCTAGTCCTTTAGCAACTGATAGGGAACTGCTGTTCAAGTTACTTACATACGTATGTGTACGTGTGTGTGTGTGTGTGTGTGTGTGTGTGTGAGTATGTGAATGTGTGTATATGTGGGCAGGCATATTGTGTATGCATGTGTATATGTGTGTGTGTGTAGTTATATATATATATATTTATATATATATATTATATATATATATATATATATATATATATATATATATATATATATATATATATATATATATATAATATAATATATATATATATATCAATTAAAATAAAATTCCTAATACATATAGCAATATCATTACAACATTAATACAGGTATAAAAGCAAAACTAGAATTCAAATATTGTATACTGAATATACAGCACAATTTTACAGAAAAGATCTGGATGTCAGCACATGCATGCCTCATAATACTGAACAAAGACATGTTAATAAAGGCAAATAACTTATAACAGGTTAGACTATGCTATATAATTGATGTCAAACAGCTTTCTAAGAATTCTATCTAGTGTCAGTGCTTTCACACACAAGTACACAAAATTTGTAAAGAAGCAAGGTCCAAGAATGGTTAATATCAGTGGCGGCTCGTCCATAGGAGCTGCAGAGCTATAGTTCCCCCAGATGCTCACTTCCAGATGTACAACTTCATCAACCTTATGCTACAATAATTTGCAATTGACAAATATATTACAGGAAAAATCTATTATATGTTGTTTTCAGTGTACAGTGGAACCTCTACTTACTAGTTAAATCCATTCCATGACCTTGCTCACATCTAGATTTGCTCATTTGCAGTCAATTTTCCTCAATTAAATTAACTGAAATGTAATCAATCCGTTCCAGCTCTCAGGAGGCACGACAAGATACTTCAATATTTCACTATCATCTATACGGCTTATTTATGTATCACAATTTATCTAATATAATAAACAAAATAAATAACACAAACCTGATATATACTCTAGAATGAATAAAATATGTCATTACGTTTGTGGCTACGTAGTGGTATTGGCGGCACTGGCGGCGGACGAGTTTGTCTGGAGACAGGACAAAATACTCCTTGAATATTTCACTAATATCAGCTCTATGGCTTATTTATCCATCACAATTCATCTAATATGACATAATAAACAATATAAATAACATAGAAACCTGATATATAATATAGAGTGAATAAAATACAGTGGACCCCCCGGTTATCGGTGAACTCGGTTATTGGTGGGGTTTTTGGCGCTTTACTGGCCATTCGCTCGGTTATAGGCCGTTTTTGACGTGTCCATCCGCCGGCTGGGGCAGCTTGCTCTTCAGTTTGGCTATGTCTCTCGGTGGCTGAGGAAGCTTCTGCTAATACAGCCAAACATTTCGCTTGTTTACCATTGTTTTTAGTTTTTTCTTGCAGTGCAACTGTGAAATAAGTAACCATGGCTCCAAAGAAAGTTCCTAGTAAAGTTCCTGTGGTAAAGAAAGTGAGAAACACCATGGAATTCAAGCGTGAAGTAACAGAAAAGTTTGAGAGTGGTATGAAGGTGGTAGAACTTGCCAGGATGTACAGCAAGAATAAATCAACAATTACATCCATCCTGGCAAAGAAAGAACAAATCAAAGATGCTAATGTTGCAAAAGGAGTAGCTTTTCTAACTAAACAAAGGACACCGATAATGGAAGAGATGGAAAAGTTATTATTATTGTGGATTAAGGAAAAAGAATTAGTGGGAGACAGTGTAGTGGAGTCGATCATTTGTGAGAAGGCAAAGCAGCTGCACGAGGATCTTGCAAAGAAAATGCCTGGAACAAGTGCTGCAGTTTGTGAATTTAGGGCCAGCAAAGGATGGTTTGATAGATTTAACCCCTCGAGGATCCGTGCTGTAGATCTATGGCTTTATGTTGAGGGTTCAAACCTCAGATCTATGTCATGAGCTCAGCTCACTCTGGGCCTAGATACGAGAGAATACATCTATGTGGTATGTGTGTACCACATAAAACAAATCCTGCAGCACACAGTGCACAATAAGAGAAAAAAACAGAACGTAATTTTTTATTAAAACAGCGACTTTGCAGTGATTTTTCGTATGTTTTTTATAGTTGTATTTGCGATTTCTTGGTCTCGTTTGATTGAATGGAAGATATATTACAGAAATAGAGATGATTCTGATTGGTTTTGGTTTTAATATGGGAAATGGCTTGAAACTGAGCTCAAAGAAGCAGAAATGTTCAATTTTTGCCGATGTTCAAGAGTAAACAAATGACCTCACGTCTAATACACGCCAGCTGTTGGGTCTAATATACATTCGCAAATGTGGCGATATTATTTATACAATTATTACAATATTGAATAAGAGTAAATCTTCTATTTTTTGGTTTGAATAAAAATTCATTATGTGAATAAAAAATAAAAATGGAATTCATTAGTAAAGCCTGAAAACATAACTAATGAAGAGAGGAAATGTTAGTTTAGTGCCAGGAATGCCTACATTGTTTATTCTGGACCCTATTTTGAAATTAGAATATTTTGAACTTTGCATTAAATAGGCCAAATTACCAATTTCCGATCGCTTTATTTTGTAGTTGAACCAGTTGGCTTGGCGAATTCTTGTGCTCAATCGATAGAAGTAATACTAGTGAAATAGCTAAGAATTTGGTCGACTGGAATAATGTAATTGGCCTAAAATGGGAGTCAAAGTCGGCAATACTGCCGATGCGTAAATATCGCTGACACATCAAAATTTGTGAGAGCATAATTTCGTCAATTTTCCATCAAATTTCGTACTTTTTGTTTTATTACCTTCAGAAAAAGATTCTCTATCATTTCATAAGAAAAAATAATTATTTTTTTTTTGAAAATTCTTGGACACTGGTGCACCCTTTGAAATTTGGCTTCTGGACCCTGAAAGGGTTAACCCTTTCAGGGTCCAAGGCCCAAATCTGGAGTCACGCACCAGTGTCCAAGAATTTTCAAAAAAAAAATTTGTTATTTTTTCTTATGAAATCGTTTGAGAATCTTTTTGTGAAGGTAATAAAACAAAAAGTACGAAATTTGGTGGAAAATTGACGAAATTATGCTCTCGCGAATTTTGATGTGTCAGGGACATTTACGAATCGGCGATTTTGCCGACTTTGACTCCCATTTTAGGCCAATTACATTATTCCAATCAACCAAAATTTTTAGCTATTTCACTAGTATTACTTCTATTTCTATCGATTGAGCACAAGAAATCGCCAAGTCAACTGTTTCAACTACAAAATAAAGTGATCGGAAATTGTTAATTTGGCCAATTTAACACAAAGTTCAAAATATTCCAATTTCAAAATAGGGTCCAGAATAAACAATGTAGGCATTCCTGGCACTAAACTAACGTTTCCTCTGTTCATTAGTTATGTTTTGAGGCTTTACAAATAAATTCCATTTTGATTTTTTATTCACATAATGAATTTTTATTCACACCAAAAAATAGAAGATTTACTGTTATGCAATACTGTAATAATTGTATAAATATCATCACCATATTGTGAATGTATATTAGACCCACCAGCTGACGTGTATTAGACGTGTGAGGTCGTTTGTTTTACTCTTGAATATTCGGCAAAAATTTAACATTTCCGCTACTTTGAGCTCAGTTTCAAGCCATTTCCAGTGCTAAAACCAATCAAAATCATCTCTATTTCTGTAATATGTCTTCCATTCTATCAAATGAGACCAAGAAATCGCAAATACAACTATAAAAAACATACGAAAAAACACTGCTAAGTTGCTGTTTTAATCGAAAAATCATGATTTAAGTTTTTTTCTCTCATTATACACAGTGTGCTGCAGGATCTGTTTCATGTGGTGCACACATACCACATAGATGTATTCTCTCATATCTAGGCCCAAATGTACCACTCACAGTTTATCAGAGTGAGCTGAGCTCATGGCGTAGATCTACGGTTTGGACCCTGAACGTAAAGCCGTAGATCTACGGGACGGACCCTGAAAGGGTTAAGAAGCATAGTGGCATACAGTGTTGTAAGGCATGGTGAGGCTGCAAATTCTGACAAATGTGCAGCTGAAAAGTATGTTCACGAATTTCAGGACTATATAAAGGCTGAAGGATTCGAATCCCAACAAGTTTTCAATGACGAAACAGGCCTGTTTTGGAAGAAAATGCCAAACAGGACCTACATTACCCAGGAGGAAAAGGCACTGTCAGGACACAAGCCTATGAAAGACAGGCTTACTCTTTTGTTGTGTGGTAATGCTAGTGGGGATTTCAAACTGAAGTCTTTACTTGTGTATCACTCAGGGGGATTCCCCTTCCAAACACTAACTCCTCCCTCTTTCCTCCTCCCTATCTTCCAGAAACCAGCATTAGCCTTCAATAAAGGTATGTAATACTTACATAATTGTATATATATAAAAAAAAAAATAAAAAAAAAGTGAATATTTTTGTTTGGGGTGTTAATGTTGCAGTTTAAAAACTGTAGTGTAAAGCACCCTTCTGGCAAGACAGTGATGGAGTGAATGATGGTGAAAGTTTTTCTTTTTCGGGCCACCCTGCCTTGGTGGGAATCGGCCAGTGTGATAATAAAATAAAAAATTTTTGTTTGGAACGAATTAACTATTTCCATTAATTCTTATGGGAAATATTAATTCAGTTATCGGCTGACCGTCAGAAATGGATTACGGCCGATAACCAAGGGTCCACTGTATGTCATTCCATGACAAGTGGAGGCGGCCACAACCAGTCCCGCATTTTTGTGGTAATCACTGCCATCTAGTGATGGCCTTTCGAAGTCGTCTATTATAATTATTATTGAACAGTGGACCCCCAGTTTTCGTAATTAATCCATTCATGACCGACTGACAACCCGAATCTGACAATTTCCGAATTAATTTTCCCCATAAGAAATAATGTAAATCCAATTAATCCATTTCAGACACCAAAAAGTATTAACCCTTTAAGGGTCGAGAGGCCCTCTCCAAAACTTTTTCTAAGGGTCAAAAATTTTTCGGGGAAAAAAAAAAAAAATTCTTATGAAAAGATAGAGAATCTTTTCCCGATCATAATGACACCAAAAGTATGAAATTTGATGGAAAACTTAGGGAATTATGCTCTCGCAAAATTAGCAGTCTCGATGATGTTTACACATCGGAGATTTCACCCACTTTGAGCCCTATTTTTGGCTAATTCCAGTATACTAGTCGACAAAAATCATAACTATTTCGCTAGAACTCCATTTTTTTCTATTGAATGAGTACAGGAAACCACCCATTTAGCAATTTCAACTATCCAATAAAGTGGTCAGAAATTAGCAATTTTGCCAATTTCACAAATTTCAAAAGATGTCAATTTCCAAATAGGGTCCAGAATAAACAAGAAAGACATTCCTGGTACTAAAATAACATTTCCTCCGTTCATTAGTCACGTCCCCATGCCCCTCTTACATTTCTTTTGCTTTCTACTTTGAATTTTTATTCTCACAAAAAATAGAAGATTTACTGCTACGTAGACTACTGCATTAGTGTGGAAATGGTATAAATAATATCAGCACACTTGTGAAAGAATATTAGACTCACCAGTTGACGTGTATTGGACACGTGGCATGATTTGTTTACTTTTGAACTTTGGTAAAAATCGAAAATTTCTGCTATTTTGAGCTCAATTTCAAGGTACTTTTCATTGTGAAACCAATCAAAATCGTCTCAATTTCTGTAATATGTCTTCCATTCTATAAAATGAAACCAGAAAAACTAGAATACAACCATAAATACCATACGAAAATACAGTGCAAAGTCGCTGTTTTAAACCAAAAACACGGTCAAAGATTTTTTTTCTCATTAAACAATGTGTGCTGCAGGATTTTTTTTTTATACTGCACACACTTACCACATAGATCCATTCTTTCATATGTAGGCCTACCAGCTTTCTCTTGCTAGATTTGAGGGCGCTAGAATTTAGGCGTACTAGTACGTCAATAACCCTTGTGCATAAGCCGTACTAGTACGTCAAACCCTGAAAGGGTTAAAAAAAAAATTTTCTACATGAAATATACCTTTATCTAAACAGAAAACAATGATACATGAAGAATAAAACAATAATAACATCACACTTACCTTTATTGAAGACATGGTGATGTATGGAAGACATGAGGAGGGGAGAGAATGGAGGAGTTTACAATTGTTTGGAAGGGGAATCCCCTTCCATAAAGACTTCAGGTACCAAGTCCTTATCCTGGGTTACTGCCCTTCTTTGTTTTTCAATGCCACTAGGACCAGCTTGAGTCACTGGACCCCAGTCACTCAAAAAAAAAAAAAAAAAGTGTTCCAGAGAAGTTTGTTTCTGGCATGTTAGGAATTGTGTTGGGAGACAGGACAAGATTGTCCTTCAATATGACACTAATATCAGCTCTACGGCTTATTTATCTAGCACAATTCATCTAATATGACATAATAAACAAAATTAACCCTCTCAGGGTTTTCGACGTACTAGTATGGCTTACACACCAGGCTTATTAACGTACTAGAACGCCTAAATTCTAGCGCCTTCAAATCTAGTGAAAGCTGGTAGGCCTACATATGAAAGAATGGGTCTATGTGGTCAGTGTGCACAGTACAAAAAAAATCCTGCAGCACACAGTGCATAATGAGAAAAAAAAACTTTGACCGTGCTTTTGGATTAAAACGGCGACTTTGCACTGTATTTTCGTATGGTATTTATAGTTGTATTCTAGTTTTCCTGGTCTCATGTTATAGAATGGAAGACATATTACTGAAATTGAGATGATTTTGATTGGTTTCACAATGAAAAGTACCTTGAAACTGAGCTCAAAGTAGCAGAAATGTTCGACTTTTGCCAAAGTTCAAAAGTAAACAAATCAAGCCAAGCGTCCAATACACATCAACTGGCAAGTCTAATATTCTTTCACAAGTGCGCTGATATTATTTATGCCATTTCTATACTAATGCAGTAGTCTGCATGACAGTAAATCTTCTATTTTTTGTAAGAATAAAAATTCAAAGTGGAAAGCAAAAGAAGTATAAGACGGGCCTGGGGACATGATTAACGAACAGAGAACTTGTTATTTTAGTGCCAGGAATGTCTGTCTTGTTTATTCTGGACCCTATTTGGAAATTGGCATCTTCTGAAATTTGTGTGAAATTGGCAAAATTGCCAATTTCTAACCACTTTATTGGATAGTTGAAACTGTTAAATGGGTGGTTTCTTGTACCCATTCAATAGAAAAAATGGAGTTCAAGCAAAATAAATATGATTTTTGTCGACTAGTACACAAGAATTGGCCGAAAATAGGGCTCAAAGTGGGTGAAATCGCCAATGTGTAAACATCGGCGAGACCGCTAACTTCACAAGAGCATAATTCTGTAAGTTTTCCAACAATTTCATATTTTTGGTGTCATTATGATCGGGAAAAGATTCTCTATTATTTCATAAGAATTTTTTTTTTCCGAAAAACTTTCGACCCTGAGAACAAGTTTAGGGGAGGGCCTCTTGACCCTGAAAGGGTTAATAACATAGAAACATGACATTTACTCTAGAAGGAATAAAATATGGCATTAAGAATGCCACAAGTGGTGATGCATTGTTTGTTGTTGGGTGTATAAGGGCCACTGAAAGATAAGCCTTACATAGTGGCAGTGAAGGCAGCAACACGAGGCAGCAGAGGTGGCCCTATATACTTCCAACAACAATGGAGGAGTCAGTTTCGTGCTGTCCTTTTTCTATCGATTAATCGCTTAACTTACTTGCTACACGGTTAATGCTAGACTTCATCGCTGGCTGGCGCTATAGCCTTTATCGACTCCTCCTGCTTTAGTATCGTACATATTGCAGAATCAGTGAAAAAGGCACATTCTCCCCTCTCTCTCAGCCCTTTACCAAAGGGCTGGCTGGCACTAGAAACTTTCTCTAGGCCTATGGTGGCTTATTTAGCAGTTGCAAGCACTAAAAAGAATGGAATAATATGAAATGTATCTTACGAGTGTGTGGGATCGTGCTCACTGGCTGATGAACAATGGCACACAGTGTTGGGCCGCCGTTGCTTTGCGGACGCATTTGGGACGAATGACTATTACTAAGTTCAATGACTATCGAGCCAATATTTTGAAAAAAAAAAAAAAAAAAAAAAAAAAGGTACTTATTCTTAATATTAAGAAATCCGACGACGCCATGATCCGGAGGTCCACTGTATAGTACATTATTATTATGCATGTATTATTATTAAATGTATACTATTATTATACAGTGGACCCTCGGCTAATGAACACATCGTATAATGTTAAATCCGCCCAACGAAGCGTTCAAGTGTAAAAATTCTGACCTGGCTAACACTAAAAAACTTGCCCAACGTGATTCGTCCCGAACCTGTCCATCCAGCATGAGCGCCTCAGCTGCCCTGCTGTCATTGTTTACAAGCCAGGGTGGCCGGTTTCACGCATACATTCGATACATTGTGTATTATTCCATTGTTCATAGTGCTTCTAACTGCTAAGTAAGTATCCCTGGGCCCAATAAAGCTTCTAGTGCCAACCCTGTGGTAAAAAGGGTGAGAAATACTATCGAAATACAGTGGACCCCCACCTTACGATATTAATCCGTTCCTGAGAGCTCATCATAAGCCGAAATGATCGTTAGCCGAATTAATTTTCCCCATAAGAAATAATGGAAATCAAATTAATCCGTTCCTGACACCCCAAAGTATGAAAAAAAAAAATTTACCACATGAAATATTAATTTTAATACACACAAACTGAAGACATGCACAATTACTACTCTACTAAGAATAGAATACATGACACTTACCTTTATTGAAGATCTGGTGATGATTGATGGGATGGGAGGAGGGGAGTGTGTGGAAGTTATTGTTTAGAAGGGGAATCCCCTTCCATTAGGACTTGAGGTAGCAAGTCCTTTTCTGGGGTTACTTCCCTTCTTTTAATGCCACTAGGACCAGCTTGAGAGTCACTTGACCTCTGTCACACAACAAATCTGTCCATAGAGCTCTGTACCTCCTGAACAATGTAGCATTAGGTATGAACTTTGGTTATTTAAATTTTGAAGTGTTAAGATCTAGGTAATTGGGAGATCTTTTGGCAAATTTAAGTATGCATACTGGTCAGAGAGCCTGTCATAAGTCCAAGTCGTTGGTAAACGAGTACGTTGCTAAGTGAGGAGAGGCTGCACAGATGAATACTGTAATTTGATTTTCATGTAAAAGATGGGCCTTATCTATTTCTCGTGTACAGATCACAGTTATTAGTAAACTCATGCACTGCCTGACATTTTACACTTTAGAACTACCAGTGCTAATATAATGTTAATATTACCTAAACTTAATAAAAACTATTTTTTAATAAACCTTACTTACTTGTCAGCAATTTCCTTGAAAACTTTATCATCAATTCCAAATGGTGTGTCGCAGCAAAATCGGTTCTCCTTTGTTCCACAACAGTACTTTTTTTCTTGAGAGTCTGTCAACTGGGGGCATGTTAGATAAGATGTTTGTCCCCAAAGGTTCTCTGTGCTGCAGGTCATTGCACAGCCTGGAAGAAAGTATTGTATTCTCTCTAAGAGATATTTAATATTGTATAGTACTGTACATCCAAACAATTTATAACAAGAGAATTTGCCTAACCTAATCATAAACAACAAAGATTACACTAACTTTTCCAGATTGTCTCGTAAGAGTCAAGATAATACTTATCCATAAAGGTGATCAAGAGAGTTAATCAGGGGCAATACACAAATACACACTCACTCCTTGCCACTCTGGATTCAGACCTATGAAAAGCACAATTGAGGCAATTATAAAAGTGTTTGACAGTGTATACAGCACTTTCAAGAAATGAGTACCCAAAGATTTTTTAATTGTACTGCATAAAGCTTGTGGTATGGTTGACCCCAATATTCTTCCCAAACTAAGACACTACGGACTGAGAGGGTACACATACAAAAACAGTACTTTCAATTCTACTAAAACAATAACATACAAGTCACTAATAGCACTTAAACTGCCCTTCCAATGAAATTAAGAAGTGTCCCTCAAGGTAGAATCTCAGTACCTTCCTTTCCTTGCTTATATCAATGACTCGTCAAGTGATACCCAGCATCTAAAATGCATTATTTACAATTTACATGACCTATATCTTATATTGCAAACCATTACGTGTTTATGATATATAAACTAGCCCTCAATATTGAAAAACCACTGTTCATATTAATAAAGGCTTCCTTTTGCTGCATGTGTTTTTTATACTACTTTTTGAGAGCTTTGCATATTTGTAGTCCAGAGTTCATAGATGAAAAAAACTAAAAAATTTATGAAATAGCTAATGATCTAAAATACCCAAGAAACTTAATTGATAAATCCTTTAAAACTGCCTGAAATACTTTTTACAATTCAAAAAGGGACAACCAACCTTATTCAACTAAAAATATGTTGGTTCTCACTTACCATGAAAACCTGGTTGATATGCTTTCTCTTCTTAAGACTTTTAATATCAAAGTTGTATTTAAAAATCTTGATACTGTATGTATGTATGTACGTGTGTGTGTGTTTATGTATATTATATATACAGTAGGGCCCCACTTACATGGCAGGATACTGCCGGGAAAACAGACATCGCCGGAAAGCAAATGCCATTTTTTTTCCACTTTATAAATGCATATAAATGCCAGATAACAAGTTTACACTAACATATATTAAGTTAGCAATCACTAGGCATTAAAAAAAATGAAAAGTAAAATTACACACACAGTACACTCATTATTTACCTGAAAATATTTGTAGTCTTAATGTAGGGAAAAAGGGCAAGTAGTAGTTACTGCAAGAAGTTAGGTGTGGTGCCCTCCTGGCCAACCCCCCACCCACACATGTACTACAACGATGTTTTAACCCTTAAACTGTCCAAATGAGATCTATGCCCCACGTGCAGGGGTGGGGGTGCTCTGAACATAGATCAACTTTTTTTTTTTACATGCTTTCAAATGGGGAAAATCCAAAGGGTTGGAGCACTACGCAAAATGAATGTAGATCTACTTTGGACAGAATTAAAGAGCATATTTTTGTGAAGGTAATAAGCCCAAAAAATAAAAATTCAGATCAGTAGACTTACCGAGATACAGTGCCCAAAAAGTTTGTCCCAAAATGATCTGGTGGCGTTTAAAATTGACGATTTCCACATACGCGCATTTCTTTATTTAGCAGTTTTTGTAGTTTTTCCTTTTCTTTTCCAATTTTTTTCTTTTCCTACTAACATTTGGGGCCTGAGAGACCAATACTGTATATAATGTATATATATACAGTGGACCCTCAACCAGCGATATTAATCCGTTCCTGAGAGCCCCATCGTTAGTCAAAATTATCATTAGTCAAGTTTTAAATTTTTCCCCATAAGAAATAATGGAAATCAAATTAATCCGTGCAAGACACCCAAAATGATTGAAAAAAAAAAAAATTTACCATATGAAATATTAATTTTAATACACACAAACTGAAGATTTTCATGCACGTACATGACACTTACCTTTATTGAAGATCTGGTGATGATTGATGTGATGGGAGGAGGGGAGAGTGTTGATCTTCTAAGTGTTTAGAAGGGGAATCCCCTCCATTACACTTAAGGCAGCAAGTCTTTTTCTGGGGTTACTTTCCCCTTTTTCTTTTAATGCCACTTAGGACCAGCTTCAGAGTCACTGGACTTCTGTCACACAACATATCTGTCCATAGGATACCTGTACCTCTCGTTCCTTTATGACTTTCCTAAAGAGGTTCACAACATTGTCAGTGTACAGGTTGCCAACACGGGTTTGCAGTAGCTGTGTCAGGGTGATTTTCATCAAAAAGGTTTGCACTTCAAGCCACCCCTTTGCACACATTTTCCTTTATTTTTTGAAATAGGGGAACCCCC